CAGGGATCGTGTGATTTGACGACCACTTTTAGGTTGACGCAGTCCACGAGATATTCTTCCTCGTTTCTGGTGAAAATGGGCTAAGCCTACGTCCATCAAAGCAGTTTATTTTTGCAAAAGCCTCTAGTTAGCAGCCAGTCAAGAAGATGTGTTATCTTCGTGGCAATTCGAAGATTTTGTAGGAATGATTTCCAGCTCCAACGATGTCCGTCATATGATGGAGGAAAGCTAAGCCCATTTTCACACGAAATGACGCACGATGTCTCGCAGACTCCGTGAAAGTGAGGGTCGTAGCGGAATAGAACGACTGTAGAATAACACAAATCAAACATCGTCGCCTGCCGAGATTGCCACACGTAGCATGAACTATAAGTCATCACGACAATGCTATCTCAGACGCTACGGAATTCCAGCTAAGGGTCTGTTGGGCAAAATCTTTGCCGTACCCACTCGAAAGAATACAACTCACTTTTGCCGCCAATGATGAACTGGGATGATCCAAAAAAAGCCATATCTGGTATTTCCAGCGCTTCCAGCCACGACAGCATTTTACCAAATTCTTTATGGAGTCAATGTCTTCAAAGCAGTCGCGAAAAAGCGTCTTCTTGATGCGTCTCTCCTCTTCATACCTCATGTAGGCCGGCATGCAACAGGGCAGAATGAAAGACTCATCCACGCCCCAGTAAATCAGCTCCTTGCGAGCAAACGGCCCGCAAATGTTGGTGGGCAGATGCAGTTCTCCTGTGCGATAATAGTCCAACACGAAGCGGAAGATTTCCGGGTCTCGGTCGAAAAAGAAGACGGGCGTAGACGTCTTGCCGGCTCTGTCGCCGGCCAGCTCGACGTTTTGTCGAAGGCCTGGAATCTCGCCTGACTGAGCCTCGGTACCGAGATGGCACATGAGTCCGCCCGACAGCATGGGCTTGTCGCGGAGCACCGAGGACGTCTTCTGCAAGTGGACGGTTTGGTTGCCATCCGCCTTCGTCATGTCCTCCTGATGG